CAAATCCGAATATCAAATTGCAAGCGTGCAATTTCGTCTATCGAGTAATGAAAAACTATGATAATAGATCAGCGCCAAAGAAGGCAATCAAGACCATCACACCGGTTCTTGTCAAAGTATGAATTATCTTTCAACGCATTTTATTTATCGTGCGCTCATTATAAAGTGCGTGATCGGTATCATTTCATAGTTCGCGACCGACTCTGATGCCGAGGTACGCGATGCAGCCTGCGCTGGTTTAGGCTCCGTCATGCGCTTGACCGGCGACAAAGCCATGAATACATTACTGGGGAGTTTGCAGAATGACAAGAATAAATTAAAAAAGGTTAATACTCGCATTTTTTTAAATTTTTGAATTGCAGAACTGGCTTTTTCTCCTTGAACCGTTCAAATATTCAAGAGCTTACGTCTAATGAGATTCAAAAGATTTGTAGGACGCATGCATTTTTTCTGCAAAATCGCACCGATGGCTGATCGTATCGTCGGTTCATTTTCTTGGCTTGCGTGCTTGCATAAAACAACTCAGTAATGTTCAAATTTCTTTTTTTCTTTACCCTAGAGATTCATTTTTTTAAATGCATGTTCAGCGTCGCTTTCCTTTTGATAATCTCTGCAGTGGTTGTCCGATCCAGTTTTTCCTGCACATTTTTGCTGAAAAAGCCAAACCCTCTTTGCTGTCTGTGAGGGCTGGGCGCTGTCCTAGTGGTGATCAGTATCGTCAGCGGCCACTCGCTGGTAAAGCTGATGATTCTCTTTACAACCCCCACCCCCGATCGCAAATTATTCCCGAAAAGTCCTCTACATATGTAGTATCACGTGCAAATGATTCTCTCTTTCGAGGGGAGCTTATAAGCAGGCGGATGGTACTTTTGACTCCGTAGTATGTTGCGCTAACAATTTAGCATCGAGACAAATGAAAGAATCGTGGAGAAAATGGTTGTCCCACTGGCGGAGTTGAACCTCGACCTTCAGAAGCCTTTTTTTTTTGCCTGCGATGATTTACACCTAATATTACATACGTACGGGACTTTTCGGGAATAATTTGCGTTCGGGGGGCTTGTAAAATTTAGTAGAATGCAAGCAAGGTCCTGGAAGCCTTTTTCATTGTTAGTTATTTCATCTCTAATACCATTCATTGAAATGTACAGGAAAACAATTTTCTTCATTACTTTTTGTTCATTGGAATCTAGGAAGCCGTTGGCTTGATGTGGACAGCGCACTGTCCTGTAAGTTGTGTCATATGAGCGGGCAGAAATTATGCATATTTGAGTCATCGAAAACTCGGTGAATTCGCTGTGTTTGAAGCCGCACAAGAATGATAATTGACAGAGGTGTAAAGCACCCACCTGGACTGAGAGGTGCCGTCTCAAATAGTAAAATAATAGATCCTGCAGATGCCGTATTTCTTAATTCCATTAGTTTGCTTGAATTTGACACGATGCTTGCGAATCGGCTGAACATACACGTGGGCGGTTCTACTGACCTGGGCCAGACAATAGAAGGCTTGTGCTAGTCATGTGGTTGTCGTTACGACCCGGCACTACGTTTGGGCTGCTCGATTTTTCATTCGCCATCGTTTTTAAGCACAGTTAACTGGCAAGAATTGCACTGTCTCTTTTTTGCGCATCGCTATTTTTATCAGATATGTGATGGTCGAGATCTCGCTACAGTCGAATACAATAAAGAAGAAATGAAAAGAAAAGAGGAGGAAGAACTGACCGGTGTTGCAACGACGTTGCGAGAGGCCGAAGCCGCTGACACAAAAATTACATCGGCGGGTAATGATTGTCCTGTACTGTAAATTACGATTTTAGCAGCTCTGGATGCTTTCCGAGACCGAGTACATAATTACACATTTAGACGCTGACTTTGCCACGCAAGGAGCCGATCCTTGGGATACACTGAGCCCAGTGGACGTCCTTGCAAAACTGCCAGCGAGCTTTGCTGAAGGTGTTGAATCAAAGAAATGGCAGGAACGAAGGGATGCACTGCAGTTGTTACTTACACTTTGTACCGAAAATCCAAGGCTGTGTCCGAAAGCCAATTATGGCGAGCACGTAGCATTGCTCAAAAAGGTAGTCTTACATGGAATCGTAGCTTTTAAAGGTTTTTTTCTTCAGTAACGAAACTAGCTGTCTGCAGTTTTATTTGTTTGGAAAGGACTTATTTACTTTGTTTGTTCAAGTAGATCTTTGCTCTGTTGGAGCACGAAATACATTGCAGATTTCTTGAGCACCTCTTCTAAGTTTTACTGAGAAAGCAGCATGTCTTTCAGATTTTGGAAACGGATCCGAATATTAACGTTTGTGCCCAAGCAGCTCGCTGTCTGACAGCATTTGCAACGGGTCTGCGCAAAAAATTCGCGCAACATGCAACTTTAGTTGCGTCAACGATATTCGAAAAATTTAAGGAGAAAAAACCAGTGCTTAGAGATCCTCTCATAGATTGTATTGATGCAGTGGCTGCCTCGGTACGTTAATATTTTAAGTTGTCTTCGGTACTTTTGGTTTCATGCTTTTTTTTAACAAGGTGATTCACTGGTCAGAACCTCACATCTTTATTTGCTTTGCGTGAGAGGTGAAATTATTTGGAAGTAGCTGGCGAGATGGTACGTAGCAGTAACAGTTGGCTGGCAAGGTGGTCGATGGCTTTGTCTTCTAGGAGTTGGTTAGAGGCTGACGGTGGTTTCGAGCCCTTGGCTTGCGCTACTATCCAAACGAATAAGCGAATCGTAGAAGGATCAGCTATCAGTTAGTAGAGTTGGATCTCCGAATTTCAGCATGCAAACAGTGCAATTTGAAATTACGCCGTACATCACTCGTCTTACT